ATAAATTAGAAAATTAACTTCTAAAGAAAACCTATTCATTGTTATAGATATCTTAAAGGACAGACCCCATCTTCTGGATTCATGCTGGTTCAATATGTTATAAATTGTGTTGTCAATCCAAAAATTTGTTCATTTTCTAAGGACTTTGGATTACACTCTTGCTTGCTTTATTTTCATTAATTTATACCACTTCAGATTTTGCAACTATGATTGTCCTATTGATTATTTAATCTTTTCTTACTTGCTTTATTTAAAATGCCACTTCTGGTTCAGTTTATATACAGACATCCCTGATTCCTACCCAGTAAAAATAAAGATTAAATATATGGAGAAAAGGATCTTACAGGGAAATTGTTATTTGGGGGCTGAACACAAAATACTAAAGCAATTTTGCCAAGTGCATTTTTTATATGAACTACTGAAAAGTATTTTATATGGAAGTTATTCATGTTAGTGAACATTATATTAATTATACCTGATCTACCACACTGTATATTTTTATTCACAGGTAATTGTTTATAGTCACAGTTAATTAAGCAAATACAAATTTTATTCCAAGATAATGCAACAATTACATTATAGTGCAAAGAATTATGGAAATTCCAGATAAAGCCATTCTCTGTAATTTTTAGAATGGTTACTTTTATTTCTATGTATACATTTTAGGGAATTACTTAAGGCTTGATATTGTCTCTATATATATTTATGAAAGTTATACCAGTGATTTCACTGGCAGTAGGATTTGCTATCATTATGTTTTTTCATATAATGTGCAACTTGAAATATTTTAATTATTAACGTTCATATATTTGTTAGTTGAATTCTGACTTATAGACAGATGCTTGAATCAGTGTTTATGAAATTAATCTTTATTCGGGCAAGGCAGACAGGTGGAACTGAGGCAGTGTGGCTGTTTCTGCATGTGAATAAACATTTTGCCTATTTGGAGCAAAATCCTCTTCCCTATCCCTTTCCCTGTTGTCATCCCCCGCCCCGTATTTCTCTGCTGTGGCAGTGTCTAACTTAATTTTGTCAACATTCCTGTGAGCACACAGAAGCTAGAAAAAGAGGTTTTATACTCTTCCTCCTACTGTGCAAACATACAGAGTAAACAAAACAGTGTTGCTCATCCCAGGAAGACAGAGGTTTTGGGAGAAGTTCCTCAGATTGTGTGACATCGACAGAAGTCTGAGACATTTGTACAGAACCTCAATACTGAATGCCGTAAGTTCCTTGCTGCTCTCTTCCCATCTTTCCATGTCTTTTTTTCTGTCCTTAAAAGAACATGAGTCATCACAAAGAGAAAGCTGTTTAGGCTTCATGAAAATGTTATTCATTTTTAACTCTGAAAGATTCCAGTATTTCCAGTGGACTCAGTTTTTTCCTGAGAGTAGTAAAATAATGAGTAAAAGGTGCAGCAAAATGCTGCTAAATCAAAGCACTCCACTAACTAACCTGCACAGTATTTAGTCTGCATTCAGTATGTGGTAATAGAGATTCAGACTACAGGAAAAGAAATAGGACAAAAAAAATCCTAAAACTTGTAGTGCATCTTTGACAGAAATTTCACACTGCTGTCACTGTCTTCTGCGAGTAAAGATGGTATTTCAGCAGTTATATGTCTCAGCTACTTTGTTTCAAAATAAATTTATGCCTCCTTTAGTTAGATCTGGCATCCTCAAGGGATTGAATTTGGTACTGGAATAACATTGTTCTATACAACAGATAGATCTCCAATGAGAAGAATGTATTGATATATTTCTGTTAATTAACCTCATATAAGTTCTACTCTGGGATTAATGTAATGTAACTGCTACTGGCTCCCTTAACCTTCCTTGCTCTGGTGGTGGTTTATGTAATATATCACAGTCCTCAGAAGAGATCTGAGGTAGCTTTCCTTTGGTGAAAAAACAGTTTAATATTCTAGCCATTTCCCAGCTCATTCTACAGCAATAAGGTAATATAAACAATCTACCCCTAGACCAGAAATGCAGCTGGGGATTTCTGGTTTTGTTTTTACTCACTTGGATCTATGGTACAATTTATTTCACAGCAAATCATATGTCAGATGTTGTTTTCCTACAGTTCATCTTGACAGCAGTTAAAATACTGCAATAATAAAATCAACTTTTCTAGCTGAAATGCTTATACTCTGTTTGCAGTAGGATAGAGTCCTGCATTTTTGTCTGTCTACCTAATATATTTTTACAGGAGAGGTAGAAAAAAAAACTGAAAAAATTCAAATCTGAAAGAATAAAAAGAATTTCATTTTCATTATATCTGGGATGATGTATGCCAGTGAATATACAGATGGCATAATTTATGTATACGGTATGCAGTGGACCATTTTTTTCAGCATTCATATTCTGAAAATCCTGTATTTCTTTTAGAATATTATTGGAATTTTTACACCTAATTATGTCAGTATCATTGAAAACTGTAAACAAAATACCCATTTTGTCTAGGAGTGTGAGCTGTGGACTCTTGCAAGAGAATTCTGTTTGTATATGCAAACATGAGTAAGTTGATTTTATACTTATATGGCAGATACACACCTTAAAGAAAAAATCGTGTTATTGTTTTCTTCCATTCTGATCATATTTTAAAAATGTAAACCACTTAACAAACAGTGAAAGTTTCACTACTCTTAGATTACTTTTAAGCCCTGCACTTTTGTTACATACTATAGTTTCTTACTCTTAATCTAGGTATCTTTTACAACAGGAGTATCTGAAGTATTCTGATCAAGAACGGTTCTTTTCTTTGTTTTTCAGGAGTAGATAGTTGTGATTTTTTTTCCAATGTATAAAATATATTCACGTAATACCATCACTGATACCAAGTGGTTCCAGTTTTTGAGGATGTATTTTACTATCAGATTTAGTTCCGTTAATTCCATAAATGTGTTTGTAAGAGTTATTGTGTCTACATACATAGTGCTGTGCAGGGGATTCTAAAATAGACACTGATTCTTTAAATACTGCATGTAGATGTAATTTTATTCATTTAGATATGCCCCAGGAGTCACTTAAGTGTTTATAGAATCAGATCCTTGGATTTTCTGTAGTTAACACGTTTGTTTTTTGTTAAGTGTAGACTCATAGTCATGCTTTTATATTGTTTAAATTTTAAAAACATTTACAGTAACACTAGGTTTTAGTATGCCTTAAGGTTTATTTTCAGTGAAGTTATTCAGCCTCTGAAAGGTAATCATGGCTGAAAGGCAAGGCAGACTCTGCTACTGCTTGATTTAGTTTTTAAGTTTCATCTCGCCGTAACTGAATTTTATATATAATAATCCTCCTAATTCCATTCTTACTCTTATGATGGTACTTTAGTTTTTCATGACATGGTTATACTTCATAGTTTTATATTTTTAAATCTCATGGAAATATGGTAAAGATAAAATATGCTGGAAGGCACAGTTCTACTGTTTTGTTTACAAGAAAGCAGTTATGTTTCAATGGCAAATTCATGCAAAGTGTTCATAATAGAGTGTGAATTGTAAAAGTTACTGTTTTTCCAAAATTCATTAAATCCCTTTAGCTTCACACTTAATGGGACCTCTGTCTGGTGCGGAAACTAAAGAAATAGAAATTCTAATAAATCTGGACTCAAAAGAATAACAGAGTACTGACAGAAGTAATTGCACTTTCATTATATATAACTTGAAAACCAAGCCTAAAGCAACTATTAAAATATTTCTCTATATTGAAATAAAGCGGGCTCCCTAGAGACTGACAAAGAGACTACTGGCTCTTTCTCAAGACATCACAGTTCTTTATCCTTTTGTAAGATAATACAGCCCCTGCTTTTTTGGGCAAGACAAATACTGATGTGCTTTTCTGAAGTAAAGTCCCTCCAATTTATGTCCATTCCCCAGTGTGAATCTGACATCTGGAGAGCTCCTCACAGAGCTGGCAAACAGCAAGCAGGCAATTGCTGTAGAGACAATAAAAGGAAGCTTTTTTGTAAAGGCAGGGTAATGGTCCAAAAGCTCTCTGTGGATTGAAGTTTCCAAGCACTTATTCAATATCGATATTAGCCATATTCAGTACTATGGTAATATATAATACTGCATTCACATAAAGGATCCAACATCCTTTTTCTGGATTTTTTTTTCTAGACTTCTTACTGTACACTAAAGAAACAATATTCTTAATGCTGTATGGCATTCTTTTTAGCAAGCTTTTTCCACTGTTTTCTGATGCTTTCTGCTTCTTCAAGTAGAATCATAGAGATAAGTTCAAGCTGTGTGAAAGATTTCTGCCAGGGATTCAGTCGTGGTTTCTGAAAGCAAGTCCGAAGCTCACACTTTAATTTGCTTATAATTTAATATGTATTTCCATAGACTTCCTCTTAAGTCTGTACAAACAGGCCTAATTCACTTTCAGGTCCTCAGTAGATAATTAAGAACTCTTCCTTCAATCATCATAGCCATCTGTCATTTTAGGTCATGAATACGTTATTGAACTGGCAAAGCATAACACCAGTAATACACCACTAGTCTACGTGGAGATGCATTTAATAGTGTTGTCCAAGGACGGTTTATACTGCTGTGCATGAGGGAAAAATGGCAAGCTGTGAACTCTGTGAAGATGGCTGCAATGTGCATGAGATGCCTATTGCCAACTAGAAGAATGGAAACTGTGATAATTTTTTGCCAGTTTCATGGCTCCTGTGCTCACAATCTGAATGTAAAATATCAATCCCCATCAAGGTCCTTAATTGTTGCCTATAGCTTCTGTAACACTGACAATAAACTCCTTCAGATGCATTACTTCCTCAGTCACAACAATGATTTTATGCAGATGAAAAAGAAAAAAAAAGGGTACTCTTAGCTATTAACAAGAAAGCTAAGTTTGGTACCTCTGGATTGTGAGAAAATGGGACTCATTAATTTGCAAGTGAAACAAGCAAATTATGAAATTGCCAGACTTTTTTTTTTTTAATATATTGCTTCATCGAATTTTGTTCCCATATTTTTTCTTCTCTCTTAGCAATGGTTGTTCTCAGCAATTTGGAACCAAATACGACATACGAAATCAAAGTAGCCGCTGTAAATGGAAAAGGGCAAGGAGAGTATAGTAAAATCGAGATCTTTCAGACCTTACCTGTCCGTGAGTAATACTTGAGCTGTTAAATGAAAATGTAAATAGAATATTTTATCTCCAGATCAGCTAATAATTTAAATTATGATTCACTGTGAATAACATATTTTATATTTACACACTACTCCTAAGTGCATAACATCAGTCTTTACGTTGTTTCTCAGAAATCATGGTTTTGTCCTCTTATTCCCTCCCACCAAGTAGTATGAATGAACTTAAATTGGAAAATTTATCCCATTATCTATAATTTTGAGACTTAGACAAATTTGTGGTTTATATTTAGGATCACAAACCATGAAGCATATTAAATTAAGGACTTTTTCTCATTTACACTCTTTTACACAATTACTACAAGTATTTCTAAAGGAACCATCTCTTTCTATGTAGATGTAAATTTACAGATATTTTGAAGATAAGACACAAGTATAACAACACACTTTCATTTAGAATCTGATTAAACTTTATAAAAGGTATTGTGTACAGAAATGATAATTAGTCTGCGAATTTAAATTAGCTAAGTGACTTAAACTGGCTATTAACCCTTCCATTGTACATTTAAGGTTATATTTATCCTTACATTGCAGAAGTTGCTTTTGCTTTTGGTAATCTTATTCTTTAAATTTCTTGTTAATACAGACTACTCTAAAAGTATCTAATTTTGCCTCAGCACATTTATTGAAGAGGTGATTTACCTTGTATCTATATTACAGTCTTCCACATGGGACTAGAACTCATGCTTGATACTAAGGGTGCTTTTCTGTAAGTTAGTATTACCCGCAAACTTCAGTGTGAGTAGCAACTTGCAGCTTGCCAGCCTAGCTGAATTGATGGCTAAATCATTTCTGAAGTAAATTACATCTGAAAATGTCAAAAGATGAAAGGTCTTAAGTACTTCTTTCATACTTCACATAATTTTGTTGCCTTTTATGTGATAATTAATCCACCTTAGGACATACTCTAAGCAAAATATTTAACACACTTATTAAGGTTGTTCTGCAGTGCTTGGAAGTACTATGTTGATTTTAAAGATTTTGATTAATAACATTGTGGACAAGTTCCCAGATGTAATTTAAGACTTATCTTTTGCTGAATTATTATTATCATTTACTTTTTTTTTTCCTTGTTTAGGGGAGCCAAGTCCCCCTTCAATTCATGGGCAACCAGAAAGTGGCAAGAGTTTTAAACTTAGCATAACTAAACAAGATGATGGAGGTGCCCCCATTTTGGAATATATTGTCAAATACAGAAGTGTAAGTATTTCAGATGCTTAGTAATATCTGCTTTTAATACGGCCAAGACTGTTCATATGATTTGAAATGTGAAAAAATGGTTTGCATACTGCAAAAAGAAGATATAGTATAGTGTGTTTTCTTTTGTGACTAGGTTGCTAATGCAAGAATATAAAATAAAAGATAAAAAGGAAACAAAAGCACCCTGTTCTTTCTAAACATGTAACTGAGAGGTCATTCTAATAAGAAAACTGTATTCTCTGTTTTGTTATGTGGTAAATGAGGAACATTCATGTTCACGTCTAAAAAGTGCATTAATTTAGCAGACATTGAAGTTACATAGTTAAGGGTTGTTTGAGCAGCAAATTAATAATCTTTTATAAATGAATCTGTATTGATAGATAATATCCTAGAGTTAGAAAGCTATACTCCAATGCTCCATATTAATTTGAAATTAAATTCATTATCTGTTCATGTTTCATATTTTCTGTCTTCCTAGATTCCAAGGTTCAGTTTAAAAAAGCTAAATCATTTAAAATTGTTAGGACTTTCATGAGTTTCAGTGTACATATCAGTTCTTTAACAGACATTGTGCAGATTTTTTTGGCCTTTGATCACCTACAGTCTGTTTGGTGTACTCTCATTAAATCTGGCAAGTTTAGAAAACACACCTTTCTAGCTAAAATATCCTTCCTTTCCTGATTTACTATGTTTAGAAATTACTGGGTTGAAGAAGTAACTATAGAGCTGGTAAAAGCAAAGAATTTAATTCAAAAGTTGGCATTTTCTAATAACTTTTTTTGTGTTCTTTTAGGAATATTATACTATTTTTACCAGACTAGATCCAGTAAAAGGTCCAGAGTGCAATAGCAGATGTACATGTCCATATCAAGAGTCTAAGAGATACTGGGAATATAACATCAGATACTTAGGCATGTTAAATAGAAGCTAGTGATGACTGTATTTAACAGAAATAAGCAATCTTTGAGAAATTAATTGCACAACATGTTTCAGTATTCCCAAAAAAGGAAAAGCCGTTTCCTAATTTTCAATAGTGTTTTTCACATTTCCTGATTTTTCCTACAATGTAACTCTTTGATGGTAGTTCTGGCATTGCCGAAGTGCTAAACCTGGCATATAGTATGATTTTCATAAGGTAATCAAAGAAGATTGCTAGCTCCAAATCAACTGAGAAAAAATTGGTAGAGTTTTTGAGAGTAACCTGAGGACATAAACAGCAGTTATTCTGATATCACTGATCCCAACATCTTAATTGACCTTCTTAAACAACTTTCAGTCTAGTGAGTGCAGCTGGCATAAAAGAAAAGTAGTTGTAAAGAAGAGAGGGTAGTATAATATGCAGTGCAAGGTACAATACAGTTCCATGGGATTGAGCTTCCTGTTTAGGTAACAATGCCTCTAAGTATTTATAACTAAAAAGAAGAAAATAAATTTCTTGGACATAATATATGAATGCAGTATATGGAATTTAATCAGTGTCTGTAACTTAAATAAGCTAAATGATTTTGGATATATCCTGAATATATTTTGAAACCTGATTTTCATCTAGTGTTTTGACTAAAGTACAGTATTACGGTCTAAAACATCACTCTTTGCATGCATTGTTGAAAGATAAATGTACAGTTTAAGCAGTAACAGTAAACTTAACAGGCTGCTGAAGAAGAAAGCTTTTACTTGGACCTCAAATCCATATCTACTTAAGCTTCCAATTGAAAAAATGATTTGACTAAATTAAAGACCATCCTACAGCAAAAGAGCATGATTTTTTTTTTTTTTGTTATGGTTTAATCAGAATGAATGGATGCTATTTAAAGTTCTTAATTATTATCTGTTGACTGCTTCTCTTCTATCTCCCCATTGGTTGTATTTAATTAGCTTTCCTATAACTCTTGCCAGCCTCATTACTAGCACCTGGACCAATGTATTTGCTTGCCTATTTAAAGAGCACATTAGAAAACAAGCTATACATCAGTGTCTTTTTCTTCTTTGTTTTTCCTAACAGCCTATGTCTTACTAATAGTTAGTTCCCTCGTATTAAATTTTCATGCAGAGTTTGTTGTTGTTTGTCCATTTTTTTGTTTTTTAACTGGAAGGACAGCCTTTAAGATGCAGCAATTTTCTAGCCTCGTTTAGGGCAATTGGTAAGTTATGTTTTTCTGGAAATCATGTTTCATTCTGTCATACTGCTTTCCTAACATCACTTTGTTTATATTATGGGCAGTAGTTATTATAATAACTTAATTAGAAGCTTCACTTCCTGGTCTGTATTCCAGAGAAGCAGGTACTATGCAATTTTTATGAGCAGCAGCTTCAAACTGATTCCTGGTCTTCCGCAAAGATAGTGAAGACAGTCTTTCAAAGCTTCCCTGGTGAAGCCTGAAGCTGATGGCATACAATGTCTTCAAAGTTACCTTAGGATGGAATAGGAGGAGAGAGAGAAAGGTGAGGGAAAACTGTTCCACACTAATCAGGTGGGAAAAGCAGAGATGGGGATTCATTAGACAAGCATCCCATCCAATGCAGGAGGTGACCACCCAACCACATTTCTCATGGTAACTGTAATGTCAGTGGGGACCAACTCAAGCTACTCTTTGGTTGTTCCTGCTTTTAGTGCTGTTAAATTTGGTTGGGCACACATGATGAGGTGCTGGTGTTGCACATTTTAAGCTGTATTCGTATAAATCATTGGGTTTTTTTTTTTTTTTTTTTCTTTTTTTTATCTCTAAATTCCATTTTACCTTGGACTTGACTTTTCCAGATTCTTGGACTTTCTGTGCATTTTAAGACTATGTACATTATCAGCCATTTTGTGCTTTGTTCAGTATTTGTCCTAGATTGCACAGACCTAAAAGGCATCACCATGATGTAATGAATTCTTGTGAAGTCACTGCTTTAAACTATCAGATTGTCTTCTGAGAAGACTTACTGATTCCTGGAAAGATGTTTTACTCTATTTTAATCATTCTCAGGACTGTCATGTCAGTATGAATACCAATGCAAAAGCAGCAAGAAAGAGTTTAAGAAAAGGTGAAGTCAGTGTGGAGAAACCATCACATTCAGTGCTGATAGCTAATAAGTTATTTCAGTAATGCGCATAAGGGAGTTTAGTCTGTCACTCTATTTTCTCCAGACTTGGGACAAACAGGTACAAGGAGCATGACTGGGCTCTGAACTGTCTAATTTTGATTCAATTTTCTTTGATACTTCTATCAGTCAAGAGTAAAGTGCTTTAGCAAGGACCCTAAATTTAAGCTGCTGAGAAGCATAGTAGTCTGCAGCAAAAAGTTATGCTCCCTACACTTGAAGGTTTTTTTTTGCTGGAAAGTTTTTATCCACTGACTGGCCTGTATTGTTGTATGAGTTGGAAGTATGGCTCTCAGCCATAGTTTTTTGCCACTTTATCATACCTCAGTGTTTGGTAAGAACAGGTCTACACAGATTTTTACTGACTGTTAGTGATACTCCTTTGAACAAAAAGGCTTTTGTGTTTGACAGTGTTTCTCATTTGTATAAAGAATAATTAAATATTTTATACACTTAAATTAGCAATTGCAAAGGTAAAAGTACTCCAAATTTATGAAATTCCAGAGTTAAGATTGCAACTGAAGTCCTCATTTGTTTCCTTTGTACAGTTAATTATCTGAATTTAAACTTTTTTTTTCTCTAGAACACCATCTTAATGATTTACATGTGTCTCAGCGGTGTAGAGATAGGACTGCATACTTAGTTGTGTTTATACTGTCACATACAACCTATTTTGCAAACTATTCCTACAGTACCACATACTACTACAGTTAGTGTATATTTTCATTTTATAACTAATGTATGATCTTGCATTCATGAACAGTTCAAGTTTGGATTTAATGGCAAGTTTCTCTTAAAGCACATTGATCAAAATGTAATCAAAGCATCTATATAAAGTAAACCTTTTACAGAATTTACTCTTAGCAGCATTAGTAAATAATTATCCTGCTGTTCCCCAAGATAAACATCAGTATTAGAGCAATGTATAAATTGAAGCCAAAAGGTTTAAAGAGATTGCCTACAAAATCCCTAAATCCACATTATGGAAACATGATTTGGAGTGTTCAAAATTGCCAAAAGACCAAAAGCCTGATTACTCAGAACTCCAAAATTAGATTATTTGAATGTTCATAACCTCTGTAAATGAAACTCCATATTTCTTGTGCATCGTGTAGACACGTTGTTTATGTGTATTGTACAAATAATACTTACAATACTCTTGATTTTGAGAATTTAAACTAATATTTGTATATTTACAGAAAGATAAGGAAGACCAGTGGCTAGAGAAAAAAGTGCAGGGTAGTAGAGACCACATCATCTTAGAGCATCTTCAGTGGACCATGGGTTACGAAGTACAAATTACAGCTGCCAACAGACTGGGTTATTCTGAGCCAACATTGTATGAATTCAGTATGCCACCAAAGCCCAACATTATTACAGGTAAGTTAATTTTGGAGTGTTTTCTGTCTATAAACTGTTTGCTACTCATAGTACACAAATATATGTAGGTGAACATAAGGTAACTGAAGTCTTCTTTAACTGACAAAGCCTGAGACACCATACTGTATTATCAGCAAAGACTTGATTCAAAACCCTTGAATGAGACCCTCTTTCTTACTTTTGTCTTCGTAATAAAGTCATTTGTAAGTACAGAACACTGAATCTTCAACCCAGTTGATGACAGGTAATAAAGAATACAGTATTTACTATATATACAGTATATACTGTATTTACAGTAGACAAATTCAATTTGTCTACTGTAAGAAACTTAGTTGCTAGAATTCTTGATTTCAATCCTGTCTCTGCATGTGCTTCAAGATATATATGTATATATATTCACATGTAATAAAGGTAGTTATTTTACGGTCTGATGAGGTTAAGACTTCAAATAGTTTTGTTTGGATACTGTCTTATTGATTCAGCCTAAAACGGTAAGCATACAGCCTTCTGTTAGGCCCATTTACAAGCATTGAAATCTGCAGAAATGTTGTTTGCATTTTTAAGTGTGTAAATAAGAAGGTTTGGAATTTTTTTAAGGAAAACTGCTTAGTACTTAAGAGTGAGCGTGCTATAGTAACTAGTTTATTGAGTTTTAATGTTACCTAACATAAAATTATGTTTTGGTGCAACAGTGCAAAATTATTTCATTCAGAATAAACCTAAAATATGATGGTAATTTCTCTTGTATTTCAGGTTGCTTTAATTTTTATAAAGCATATATTATGAGGAAGATATTTCAGACATTTTATCTAAATTATGAGCTGATATCTTTAATAATGAATTCCAAATTAGATCAGTGTCATCATTACCATTTCAAAATCAGGTGCTAGGTCCTCTAACAAAGTGCTTTCTGTATGCTATGTATTAAACTGTTGCAGTATTAGAATCAAATTAATATCATGTCGAATAAGTATAGTGGTTCATATATTAAAACGTAGACTGTATCACTACCTGTGCTTGTATTTGAACATCTGACAAGCATTGATCTTAGTAAAGTGGTGATGAGTTTGAGTCAAAGACTACTTTGTCATCAAAAAAGTTTGAATTTTTTTTTTTTCTGTCTATTGAAGGTTTTCTTCAAATATATTTTTAGGGAAGTTTTCTCGAGGTCTGTGCAACAATTTGTTGATAGTGGAAGCATTGTTACTTGCATTCATAGAAAGGAATAGGAATTTGTAATGCAATAATAGGCTCAGAGCCAGTTCTAGTACAGATATTTGGTTTAGGCACTTGAATTGCAGGAGTGAGAGGTGATTTGCATTTTGATTGAAATTCGGGGCCTCAGTAGGCCCTGTGTACTTGTTTTTAAACGGATTGCTTTAAAAACAGATTAAACACAGTGCCTCATGATTGCCATCGTTCAGAAAAAGTAGGAAAGACTGTTGTCCAAAGGAAATAAAAATATTTGTCAAGCAGAAGAATAAATAAAACCCTATTTAGGTAAATGGAAGGGGTAAGCTATACAATCTAACTTGAACCTGTTATTATTATTTGAAATATTCCACATAACTGCCACAGCTGCTGTAACTGTGAGCAGCATGATATGCCTCTGTAAATGATAAGGGAAGTGGTCTCTAGACATTCAAGTAAAAAGCAGTGTAATTAGTTTAGTTTCAGAAGACAGAACATTTTTATCTAAACACAGGTTTATAGATATTTAGGGGCTTTTTTTTTCCAGTGCTGTCCTGTAACCTCAAGTACTTGTAAGAAGGCTATTACACTATTTAATATCAAGACTTTTTTATATGAATTTTTATTGCAGTTGTAATTGTGGAACTAATTATTTTCCTTGACAGCTATTATTGCAAAGACTGAAAAGAGTGTGAAATTCCCATTATAAGCACATTCTGTAAGCGATTTTTAAAGTATGTCAAAAGACAGAATTAGTGGAACATTAATGTTCATATTCATGAGTTAGTATGGTTATCTTGTTTTGAAATGGTATAATATTATTATTGGAATATAATACATATATATAATCTTGCAAATGTATGAACCTACTCTTTCTAAACTTGATAGATAATGCATATAAAATGCTCAACTTAGAGTGGAATACTTTCTGGTATTAGTCAACTTGGATGATGCACTGTTTGTCTGCTTTGAGCCTTAGGTATTTGCAGCTAGACATCTACAACAAGGTCCTAATAAAGACATAGGCAAGAGGAATGAAATGTGACTTTTGAATCGAATCTGCATCACCTATCCTGTGCTCACTTAGCAGATTCTGATGACTGAGATACCTTTCCTGATTATTCATGTAATTACTAGAAAACCCAAAGGTTTTCTTATCTATGTGCCCAGTTCTGTGACAGTTCAGCTGAACTGTTTCTGTCTTGATCTAAATGTAATTAAAAAAAAAGATATCTGTAGAACCTGTGTATGCAATCTCATGGATATTACTTATTCCAAGACAATTTGGGGATCGTCAAAGTATAGGATACTATTTTGGTGAAAATGTGTGGACGCTAATGAAATTAATTAGAGAACTAGAGAGAGAATGGAGGAAAGGGTACATTTGTTTTCCGCCAACATGTGCTTATGAGGGAAATGGGAGTTATTACAAGAAATAAAACTGGCTCTAATTGCTGCAGAAGGAGCTTGATTATGTTTTCAAGAGCCATTGGATTTAAGGCAAAAGTAGTAATCCCTGAGGGCAGGGAGTGGAAGCCAAAACTTACATGGGCACCGAATCCACAACCTCTGCTTGCTCGGGAAGTGCGCATGTACGAGCTCCTGGCTGGCAGTCATAGAATCATAGAATCGTTAGGGTTGGAAAGGACCTTAAGATCATCTAGTTCCAACCCCCCTGCGTGGGCAGGGACACCTTACACTAAATCATATCACCCAAGGCCTCGTCCAGCCTGGCCTTGAACACTGCCAGGGATGGAGCATTCACAACCTCCCTGGGCAACCTATTCCAGTGCCTCACTGTAAGTGGCGAGGAGAAGCAGACAGGCCAACCCAATATGGGTGATAAGCAAACTCCTACTTTATTTGTGACGCAGTTCACATATATATAGGAGTGGTATTCAGCCACTCCTCCTTGGCACAACAGTATTGGTTAGCCCCACACAGCTTCCTCCACATTCTCTTCCCATGTCTGGTCTCCGGTTACCTGTGGGGGCCACCCCCTGCCTTGCTCGCACAGTCCTCCAGAGCTCTATGGTCCTGCTCTTAGAGTCATTCTGCAACACCTCACCACCCTAACAGGAAAGAACTTCTGTCTTACATCCAATCTAAACTTCCCCTGTTTAAGTTTGAACCCGTTACCCCTTGTCCTATTACTACAGTCCCTAATGAAGAGTCCCTCTCCAGCATCCCTATAGGCCCCCTGCAGATACTGGAAGGCTGCTATGAGGTCTCCACGCAGCCTTCTCTTCTCCAGGCTGAACAGCCCCAACTTCCTCAGCCTGTCTTCATACGGGAGGTAGTCCAGTGCCCTGATCGTCCTCGTGGCCCTTCTCTGGACTTGTTCCAACAGTTCCATGTCCTTTTTATGTTGAAGACACCAGAACTGCACACAATACTCCAGGTGAGGTCTCACAAGAGCAGAGGGGCAGGATCACCTCCTTCAACCTCCTGGTCATGCTCCTTTTGATGCAGCCCAGGATACGGTTGGCTTTCTGGGCTGCAAGCGCACACTGCCAGCCCATGTTCATTTTCTCATTGACCAGCACCCCCAAGTCCTTCTCCACAGGGCTGCTCTGAATCTCTTCTCTGCCCAACCTGTAGCTGTGCCTGGGATTGCTCCCACTCAGCTGTAGGACCTTGCACTTGGCATGGTTAAACCTCATGAGCATCAGCCCACCTCACAAGGTCCCTCTGAATGGCATTCCTTCCCTCCAGCGTATCAACCAAACCACACAGCTTGGTGTCATCGGCAAACTTGCTGAGGGCACACTCAATCCCACTGTCCATGTCAGGAACAAAGATTTTAAACAAGACAGGTCCCAACACCGATCCCTGAGGGACACCACTCGTTACTGGTCTCCAGCTGGACATCGAGCCATTGACCACAGCTCTTTGTGTGTGGCCATGCAGCCAGTTCTTTATCCACCGAGTGGTCCATCTATCAAATTGATGTCTCTCCAATTTAGAGACAAGAATGTCATGTGGGACAGTGTCGAACGCTTTGCACAAGTCCAGGTAGATGACATCAGCTGCTCTACCCCTGTCCATCAGTTCTGTAGCCCCATCACAGAAGGCCACCAAATTGGTCAGGTAGGATTTCCCCTTTGTGAAGCCATGCTGGCTGTCACCAAGCACCTTGTTGATTTTCATGTGCCTTAGCATGCCATCCAGGAGAATCTACTCCAAGATTTTGCCAGGCACAGAGGTGAGACTGACTGGGCTGTAATTCCCCAGGTCATCCATTTTCCCCTTCTTGAAAATGGGGGTTATATATCCCTTTTTCCAGTCATCAGGAACTTCACCTGACTGCCACGATTTTTCAAATATGATGGCCAGCGGCTTCGCAACTTCATTTGCCAGCTCCTTCAGGACCCACGGATGGATCTCATCAGGACCCATGGACCTGTGCACTTTCAGATTTTTAAGATGGTCTTGACCCAGCTCCTCTCCTACAGTGGGCCTGAGGTCTTCATTCTCACAGTCCCTGCATCTGCCTTCCAAGACTTGGGTGGTGCAGTCAGAGCCTTTGGCAGTGAAGACTGAAGCAAAGAAGTCATTCAGAACCTCAGCCTTCTCCAAATCCTGTGTAGCCAGTTCTCCCAAGAGCTTCCTGAGGGGGCCTACATTCTCCCTAGTCTGTTTTTTATTTGCTATGTACCTGTAGAATCCCTTCCTGTTATCTTTAATACCTCTAGCTAAGTTTAATTCTAACTGGGCCTTAGCTTTCCTAACCTGGTCCCTAGCTTCTCAGACAACATCCCTGTACTCTTCCCAGGCCACCTGTCCTTGCTTCCACTTATTATAAGCCT